TTTTTTTTTTTTTTTTTTTTTTTTTTTTTTTTTTCTCCCTTCAGCCGGTTGGATTTTCCCCATCTTACAGCACCTCGCAGGTCTCTTCTCTCAGCAGTACGTTGCCTGAGTGAGTGGAAACACACAGATCAGCTGCAGGTTTCTGTCTACAGAAACAGAGTGAAAGAGAAAGAAAAGGGTTGGGAAAGCAAAGACAAATATTGACCTGGACTTATAGAAAGACATCCAATGGCTGAATAAAGAACCCCTGTTCATGTTTTGGGATATTCTTTCAACTGGCTGGAACAAGAGCGGATCAAAAGAATGGGAAATGCCAGCAGACCCTTTAGAAGAATTGCTTATTTCTTATGCCTTTTATCTGTGCTTTTGCTGACTGAAGGGAAGAAACCAGTGAAGCCAAAATGTCCTGCCTGGTGTACTTGTACCAAAGATAATGCTTTATGTGAAAATGCCAGATCTATTCCTCGCAGCGTTCCGCCTGATGTTATCTCACTGTAAGGGCTGTAAGCATTTGGTTATTTAATTTATGATTTAAAATGAACTGGGATGTGTGCATACGGAAGGATGCTTGCTGCAGGGAGTACCTCCAGCATTCAGAATCATCAGCTAATGTGTTAAAATTGTGCTGCATTCTTGAATTCTGCTTTTTACATCTCTTTCATCTGTTTGTCTGTCTGTGTCTATGCACGAATACCATTTCATACCTGCTTCTATGCTGAAGGAAACCTGTAACATTTTTATTTAAAATATATATATATATTTTTTCAGTACTTGCAGAAATACATTTCTCTGTGATGACCAGATCGGTGTTATAACCATGCATATGTGAGACTTCATTAATATAAGGTTGTTTTTTCTTCTTTCCAGATCCTTTGTGAGATCTGCTTTTACTAAAATCCCAGAAGGGAGTTTTTTGCTCACACCATCTCTGCAGCTTCTGTGAGAAATATTTATATGATACAATTTTTGTTATGAAATGTATATGTACCCATAAATAATGAAATAAGGTTCTCGATATTATTTTGATGGGAAATAGGAAGAGAATGTTCGTTAGATGACAAAAAACAAGACTTCTAGTAATGTGAAAGATAGTGCATGTTTAATTTTTTCAAAGTCCATGTACTTGGTGTTTTGCAGGGATATCTGTTGTCAGTGCTACTTTGAATGATTGAATTCTGGAGCTTTTGGTGACAGAATGTGTGCTATCTTTATAGGATTTTAATTAATATTACAGTAGGGATTTGAGCATTGCAACAACTGTTCTTCCTGTTTCTCTCCTGCAGCACCAGGGCCTGATCACAATATAGAGCTTCCCATTTGCAACTTTCATTGCCCGTGAGCTCAGAGCCCCACAGATCAGGCCCTTCTGTTCTGTGGGACAGGTCCCGGACTCCTTTTCCATGCAAAATTGCCACTGACTTCTGTGGAAGTTTAGTCACTTCAGTGGGAGTTTTGCCTTGCTAGTGTCTCATTTTGACTATTATTTATGATTTCATGTTTTTTGAAAATGCACAGAAGTAATGAAAATTTTCTTTAAATTAAAAAAAAAAACACAGTTATTTTAAAATCAAAGACTGTGATACATAGAAAGAGATTGCCTTTGGACATTTAAAAATTGGTTGCATTTCTATATAGGTTTTTTACAGGTTCACAGGCTTTCCTAGAAATGTGGGCATACGATTACATAATTGCCAGCTATACAAAGGTAGAGGGGGTGTAACCTGAACTGTTTATAGTGGATGTGCCACCAGCCTGAAACATATCCAGGCTGGTCTCAGAAATCTGGTGAGAAAGGCAACTTGATGTGATCAAAATCCAAATTAGACATCTGTCCTGGGCTGACTCGGCATGCAGGCTAGATGTGGTCAGAAGTGTCGTGTTGATGGATTGGAGCCCTAATGCTGTCTCGTTAAAGTGTTGGTGCACTGATAGCTGAAGCCCTGACCCTAGCTGTACTCTGCTACCTCAAGTGGAGCTGATAAGGAGGTGCAGACATACTGTACAATTTTGGATACAGGGTAAATAGGTAAATGCAGTTACTATGGAAACCTAAATGCTTTTCCGTTGTGCTTCATTCCTGAGAATATTTTCCCAGGTGGTCACTGATCACAAAAGGGACAAATTTCACACATCCCCTGCAATGGACCTTTCAAAGAAAAGAAAAAAAGATGCACTGGTGGAGCTTGTGTCTGAAGAGAGAGTAGGACACCATCATCGTCTCTCCTGGCTACGATGTGCCACCTACACTTAGCAATCTGCTGCCAGGCAGGCGGGGATGGGCTGGGTGGAGCAGGACAGACACATTCTGGTGGTTTTGAGTCATTATAGTGCCCGAGGGTTGTAGTCTCTGACAATGGCTTTTGGCATTTTGGTAGTGGAAATAATTTGCAAGGTCTGCCTTAGGCTTCACTGGAATGCATGTTCTCAGCCGCTGTTAATAATGCTGCAACAAAAGCTGCACTCCCAGAAAAGCAGTTTTTGTTTCCTTATGGTCTTTGACAAGTGATCTGTTAGAATGGTGCAAGCTATCCACAGACTACTTCTGCTACCTAGCAATTCTAAAAATACTGACTGCTTGTCCAGGTGTATCTCTAATGTGGGAGCCGAGCTGCTTGCAATCTTTGTGAAGGCAGAAGCAGGGCTCTATCTATGGGGCCAATACTCCAGTTTCTACGTAGGAAGGAAAAACTTCCATATTTGGCAGAAGATAGAGTAACGCAAATAAGAATATGGAAAACTATGGTTAATTAAAGGAAGTTTTAGCTTGATGTAATTATAGCTGTATTGGTAGGTTTAATTTAGCCAATGGCAAGATTTAGCAGCCTGCACATACTTTTATATAATAGTCTCTCCAGCATGCCAGTCACACATTTCTGAGTGTGGAATATTCTGCTTCTATTATTCTTTACTACAGTTGTTACTGTAGTAATGGCAGTGGTCTCTGGAAAAATCACGGTCTTAATGTACTAAACGCTGCACAGCAGTCCTACATCAGGAGAGCTTTTCTTCCTGAATGGTGCAGATGGTATGATCTGTGCTCTTTGTGTGGCAACAAAAATGTGCAGCACCTACAGAGATGAGTGAAGTGCCAGCAATAGCGTTCCCGAAAAATAGGGGGCATCTCCCTGCTCACATCTCCAGCACTTGTAGCTGTGTCTGTCAGGCAGTGTGCACAGGGTGCCCTTATAAATGGATGACACTGAAGCACATGGAGAGAAGGGAGTTAAATCATAGTGATAGGATTCACACCTGACAGCAGCACAGCTCCTGCCCTGCAGTATGGTTCTTAGCTATCATGCAGCTGCCTTTCTCCCCACCTCAGAAGTAATTTGGTGGTGATCAAGCAGAGCTGGTTCTTGAGGTCAGAAAGTGGGAGAAAAGTGACTTCGTGCATCAGATAGATGTGATACAGACACTGGGGGGAGGTACAAGATGGGAGGCAAATGAGCTCACCAACTACTAGACCTATGCCATGATCCTGGCAATCTCTACAACAGCCAAACTATTTAAAGAGATACTACCCTATTCTCATAGCATACAAGCAGGGCAGAATGCAGAAAAATAAATATTATCCAGAGAAACCGTGTCAGAAAACAGTTTCATGTAGTGAATTTACTAAACTGGTTTTCAGGTTCATGGACTTTATAAAAATACTTATTTTCTCTAAGAGAAGAATCCATTGTTACTAACAAAAAGGAAGAATTTCCTGATTGTATTTCTGTAAAAATGTAGGAACATATTTAAAGTGAAAAAAGTGCAGTCTGCAGTCGCCTAGCGAGAAAAACAAACCAACTGGAATTTATTCCTAATGCAGACTACAAAGGAAGAGATTAACTCATTCAGTGAATTAATTCATACTTGAAAATCTTGAATTCCTGAATGCCTAAGGATATCATAGTGTAAGTCTATTCATCCATCAGGTCCAACTTAATAAAATATAGATGTGCAACTAGTATTCCACTGAGGAAAAGTTCATTTTATTTGACAGTGCCTTACCATTTTAAGGGTGTGGCAGTTTTGAGCTGCATTAAAATGGGCAGATGCAAACATGCCTGATAATCATAAATAAAGCTGGAAAAAATCAATGCTAGTCCACTCTTAAGGGCTACAAGATTACATAAAATTAAATGTGTTGCCAGTATTTTTACTGCTAGATGGATGAAAAATACATGCACCTACTGAGAGTTATCTCCATCAAGTATTGCGTGGCCTTAGAAAAGTAGTTCTGAACGCTGACTAAATTAGAATAACCCTAAGAAATTTCACATTTTTTCTCAGGAAACTCTCAGTACCCTCAGGTCAAACCCGCTCACAAGTTTAACTCCTAACTAAGGATTTTTCCTACCTGTCATCTGTGTAAATTCAACTTGATGTCTGGCTTGTAGACTAGATTTTTCTTCACATTGTCATCCAAAGTAAGTATTCAATGCAATTTGGACATCTGTAGTACTTGAACATTTCAGTGTTGTCTGAGTCTGTCCTCAGTAGGTCTTGCACAATGCCATTGTTTTATTGGCATGTTAAACCCACATTTACATCCTACAGAATTCAGTGGAATTTTATCAGATAGTGCCAGTATGCAAGATGGTGAGCTGCTGGGTCCTTCCATTGCACCAGACAATACTGCAGTGTTATAGCAGTGTGTTTTAGCCTTGTGATCCTGTAGTGCTTACATAGGCAAACCATCAGTGGAAGTCTGGCCTGCTATGGATCAGTTGAACTAAATGATCTTAGTAATCTTTCCCAACCTTCATGATTCTATGGATTGCTGAACTATTTTCTAAAGCTGCTAATAACCTAATTTGTTTTACATTTCTTCACACAGGTTGTTTACGTCCAATACTTTTGATGTTATTAGTGATGACGCTTTCATGGGCCTTCCTCATCTAGAATATTTGTGAGTGGATAACATAATTTTTCCTGGCATTATTGAATAGAGTGGGTGGGCTTCCACGTTCCAGGCACTGCTTTGACCAGAATGACTTTACGACCCATTACAGGTTCATAGAGAACAACAGCATTAAGTCAATTTCAAGAAATACTTTCAGAGGACTGAAATCTTTAATTCACCTGTAAGTAAAGTGGTTGAATATATTCTTTGGTATATTTAATATAGTAACTGAACCACTGTGTTGTTTAGTATAGCATTTTGATATGTAGCAAGTCACATTTGTTTAAGCAATACTACTGTTCATTGGATTAGACTGCTAATCTTTGTGTTTCCACCAAAGACTTCTAATCATGATTGTGTAGATGGCTGGGACCCCAACAGCGTCCAAGCAGTGTTTGTGGTGGCAGCTTCCTTTCCTGCTTTGCACAGGGCGCTGAGGCTTTCCAGCTGAGCAAGGAGGCACAGGAGAGCAGGGTGTCAGTCAGCTGGTTTCTGCTAAGGTGAGATAGGAGAGGAAAGCCCAGTTTGGGGCATGAAGGCAGTGATTGGCACCAAGGTGCCGTGGTGGTGAGAGCCAGAGGGGCAGTGGCAGGCCTCTTCCCATGCAACAATCTGGCCTGGGTCCAAGGCAATATTATGGCCATCCATCCACTGAGCTGTACGGTGGATCTGCCCTTAGGCTTCAGCAGAACCAGCAAACCTACACACCTGCGCTGCACCCTGTCCCCTGCTGAACCCCGAGCAGCCTGTGATGGGAGTTTGTCATGCTCCTGAGCACCAACACCAGGGCCTGCCATTGGGCTGCCCCACCATTGTGGGCAGACCCTGCTCTCTGGGAGCTGGCACCCACAGAGGTTTGGCTCACGCTGTGTTCAGGAGGTGAAAGGCACACTGGCAACAAATACTTTTAACTGCAAACACAAGGTAAAAGCCTCATGCTCTCATCTATCAAGATAGTCTTTGCTCAGGCATTTGATTTCCATCTGGCATCAAGTTTATGCATTAGCAATACTTCTGTTTTTGCAAATACAGTCCTTATTGTAAGAAAACATTACAAACATGCTTAAAGAGAAGGGGGCTAAAACATGTAGGGTGCGCCTGACATGGATTTATACACAACTCTGAGCATTTGCATTCTGCAGCATTTATCTTGGGGTGCTTGTCACAGGCAGGGGCGTGGATTCTGACCTCTTGGCCCTAGCACAATTACCTCAAGGAGGGCTTTGAAAGAGGATCATTTAACTTTTTCTTTTGTATATTTAGACATAGGAGAAAGCAGAGGTTCAATCTTAAATAGTTAATGCATAAACATAATGGTTTAATTGCAATTCATCAAACCCTTTACCACATAGTGAATGTACCATAAAACATTTCCTTTTTGGTCAGTGTAGACAAGACTAACAGCTGCCTCAAACTGTGGCTGCTCATGTGCATGAAGTTACTTACAGAATGGCTCTAGGTCTGAGGAAGGGAGACAAGAGAGGCATACAAGCAGACTGTGCACATCCTATGGGAATCCATATTAGAGATACAGGCATAATTGTAGTATCATTAAAAAGGCAGATAATAGGATGTGGCTGGTAACTGGGACTCTATCTTCGAAATATTTATGCACATGAATAACTTTATATTCACAAATGGTTCCAGTACATTATTTATTATATTCATTTACTTATTTAGTAGCTGCTACCGCCTGTGAAAAAATTGCTTTTCCACCATAGAGTAAAGCAGTGTCTTGTCCACAGAGCGTGCAGTCCAAAAGTAACATCTTGTCTTGACTATGATGTTGATTTCAGGGGACACTCCAACAGTTTCATAAGAGAATAACATATGCAAAAGATAGAACCGCACTTGAGGAGCCATTGTGGTTTGCATGTGGTTGGTTGCACACACAGTTTTGGAACACTGATTTGTGCAGTGTGCTGCTATTGCACATGGAGAGCTACTCATCAAGACAATGAGAATTTTGCAGAAAATAATCGCAAGGGCAGCTACATTAACAATGGAATGTGAATAGTTTAATGTGTTTGTGGACCTACTCCCCACCCTTTGGGGGAAATTGTACTTACATATTAAGAATAATCATTGGTATCCTGAGGCATTTCTCATTTAAGAAACAGGAAAGTGTTTGTGATACATAAAGTATAATGAAAAGAAACACAGTAAACAAGCACAGAAATTAGTTCCATGGAGTTAGAGAAGAATACCAACTTTGTTCTGTTTATTCTGTTCATTTCCTTTTCACAATATAAGTTTTGCAATACAGTAAGCTATCCAAACATTTGTATTTTTATTATGCAATTATCTTTGATAATTACAGCATGTCCTTTTTGTAAAATAGAGCCATCTACTATTTGTTATGCAACACACTTCATTTTCTGTTTAGGGTGGACTGAGGAAAAGAAAACACAGTTGTGTCTTTCGACTAATTTTAACTCAACGTTAAAACCTTACCATTAGGATAGGGAAATAATTTCTATATTTCTATATTCCACATATCATTTCAATTGCCTTTCTTTCAGAATTGCAAGTGTCTGTCTGTAAGCATAACTGCATGTTTGACTCAACCCTTACTTTCTTATTACAAAGCAAATACCAAAAAAGCAGCATCTAGACAAGTTAGCGTTTCGTAACACACAAGCATGCTTTTTAACACTGGAATATAAAATGCAAAGTTTTCATCCAAAAATTGGCAAATGCATAAACCTTATATAAATTTTTCTGTTAGTCAGATTCCTGTGGTAGCGATGAACCACTGTTATTTCCAAGGGCATTGCCCCTTTTGGTTTGATATAATCCAAGTCATAAAGAAAATATAGGGCATTTTCTTGCAAGTCAACTTAGCTTTATTCACATGAGTTATCTGACTTTGAAAGAATTTTTTCTGAGTGTAACCTTAAGCATAAGGGAAGCACATGATCCGTACACCAAAGTGTTGCAATCATATCTACTTTGAGAGCTGGGAAACTAGGGGGGTCTAATGGCATCCCGTATTACTATCCTAATTGGGAAAAGTACACTGTTTTTAATGAGGCAGATAACCCATTAGGTCTAGGCCTGTTCTTCAGTTCAAACATGTGCCTAAATATCTTTGCCTGGCAAAAGAAATTGTAGTTAATAAGTAATTTTTGTATGTCTAACTAAAAATAGAAAAGGTTCTAAGAGTTACTAGCTACACATTGTAACTGGCTTATTAAATTAGAATGATTTCTTTCCATTTTCATTTCTTTTCGTAAGAGAAATAATTTTGTTAATCAAAAGAGACGTGAGCTGTACACTATTGAATTATTCTTTTCCTGGTGTGCCCTCAGTGACATTCAGAGAACTTTGGTGGACTTACAGAGATTTTTCCATCTGAAATATAATACATTCCTTGTTTAAACGCTGCTCGCATTTCCTCCTCACCTTACTGGCTAGAATACCCAATGCATTTAAGGGAGCTTTCCCAACATTAAAAATTGAGAATTAACACTTTTTTTGCTGGTCTCACACATACATGCTTACATACACCTATTCTGGGAAAGAAATTCTTGTTGATCAGCAATTTCTCGTCTATCACTGCATCTTTCCTAAAATTATGAGCTAAGCCTAAATCCAGTACAATGAAATCTGACATTAAGATTTAACTTCCAGAAGAGAGAAAAGAAAGTGGGAGGTTACAGTAATATGAACACTGTGTATTGGTATCTTCTAAGGAAAACATTAGTAGATCCAATCATGACTAATTGTTTTAAAATAATGGTGTTGGCAAAACACCAGAGGTGACTGTACTTGTTCCTCTGCTGCGTGAAGTACTGTGAATGCTATAAGGCTGCTGAAGAGTCAGAAAGCAGGAGGAGTCAGGGGGTTTTAGTGGAAGAGAGTCACAAAGTAAAAGAGCTAAATGCTGAAGAATAGTAGGGTTCTTTACCTAAAGGGGAAAAAAAAAACAACACACAAAAACAAATAATCAACCAGAACAGTATTAATCCTTGCAAAAAATGTCTAATTTCATGAGCTAGCACTGATATTGAAGTATCTTCTTTTACAGGAGTCTCGCAAATAATAATCTCCAATCGCTTCCAAAAGACATATTCAAAGGCTTGGATTCTTTAACAAATGTGTAAGAAAGCAATTAATTAATCTATTAATTTTACTAAAAATATAAAGAGATTTTTTTAGAGGACATTCTGAGTAACCATTCAAACCAATAGCTGGTAATGGGATCTTATTACTGGGTAGAGAATACACAGGATGGGTAGGCTTGATTTTTGGCTGGTGTTATTGATCAGAATTTGGAATATTTGACTAGTTATGAAGATATGTGATGCTGTTTGTAGTTGTGCAAGAGATCTGCATGTTCATTAAAATGGTGAATAAAAAGGAAACGTCCTAAGGGATGCATGAGAGAACATGACGTGAGGAGAGGGTGGAAGAGATTTAATGGAAGTGATATATCTATGTCCAAATAAGTTCTGGGAAAGCTTTCTTTTATCACAAAAGCATAAGTGTTTTAGTAAGTGCCACATTTCATACTAAATTTAACTGAAAACAAAAGCAAAACACAAATTTGTTTGAACATACAGCTTAGATACCAATAAAAGTACAAAATATAGATAAACAAATAAACCCTATGATTGCTTCGCTGAAGTGTGTTCTGTTCACAACATACCAAATTATGGTTCACCCGATGTGGGATAAGGAGAACAGAACATGCTTTCTGCTCCTGGCACGAACAAGGCAAGCTGGATTCATAGCGGCAGTAGCAGGTTGTAGAGATGGTCAGTGTGTCCTACATCACTGCTTGGCATGACTGACTATAGCCAGCTGGTGACACAGTCAAGTCCTGGCACTTACCCATTCTTGTCCATACTTTCTGAAATCTGACCAAAGACAGCTGTAAAGAACTGAACTCCTTTGCTTGTGTCTCCTAAACCTGTAAATCCAAAGGAGTACATCCAAAAGAGATAGCAAATGCTGACTGGCTGACCGTCAGGGTGCATTAATTTCTGTTTTATCTAGAATGTTCATATTGAGAAAGGGTAATCCCAAGGAACAGCTTCCCCAAACATGGGGCAATCAGTTTGGTAGGCCTTCGTGAAACTCCGGACTTGAGGAAATCAACAAGAACTTCCTACTGATTATCAACTTAAGCTCTCCTTAATAGAATTAAATCTGCGTGTGTTCTGATATGTGGATTTAACTGTAGGTCAGGAAAAATTAATCCAGGAAGCCATCAACTGAGAATAAGCAAGAAAGCACGTATTTAACAGGAGCCCAGCTTGTTGTTGTCATGCAAGGAGAAAAACAGCAGCTGACTATTAATTTCCAATGCATGATTTATTTGTTCTAGAGATCTTAGAGGCAACGCGTTTAATTGTGACTGCAAACTGAAATGGCTAGTGGAGTGGCTGGGCAGCACCAATGCAACTGTTGAAGATATTTACTGTGAAAGTCCACCAGAATACAAGAAGCGCAAAATCAATAGCCTCTCCTCAAAAGAATTTGATTGCATTATTACAGGTAATGTCCTTAAAATTATATACATTTGGTAAAGTCAAAGCTGTATCATTTTTATTCTAGGGTCCATTTTGCAGGAAGTCTACATGCTGGCTGGAAGTTTCACTAAAATCGCTGTGAATTGTCTGCAGGTGCAAGTCTGACACAGGAAGCACTGAGGATTTGGCACACTGCAGCTTCTACTCAGACTTTAATATGAAGGCTATGAAGAACCAGGGCACAAAATTGCACTTCTTTTAGTTGAGAAAGATTGAAAAACAGATTACAGTTCTCCTTTATCATCAGGAAAATTGGACTAGTGATTAAATACTGTAATTTGTAATAAAATGTTATCTGCTAAGCAAATGTTCTTTCAGTATAGTATGGAACGTATCTCTGTAATTTTCATATGTTTTGTGCGCTTTTGCAGAATTTGAAGTTTTTCAGTCCCTGCCATATCAATCTCTATCAGTAGATACTTTCTCATACATGAATGATGAACATGTGGTTATTGCACAGCCTTTCACTGGAAAATGCATCTTTCTTGAATGGGACCATGTAGAAGTGATGTTCAGGAATTATGACAACATTACAGGTATGAGCATTCCTCACCAAATAACACTGTAACAGCTGATTAAAAAGAAAAAAGCAACGCTAACCCTGTCTTTTACTTTTCTTTTATAGGTACTTCAACTGTTGTGTGTAAACCTATAGTTATTGAGAGTCAGCTGTATGTCATTGTTGCACAGCTGTTTGGAGGCTCCCACATATATAAAAGAGATATTTTTGCTAATAAGTTCATAAAGATTCAAGATATTGAAATCCTTAAAATCAGAAAGCCCAATGACATTGAAACTTTCAGGATTGCTGAAGACTGGTATTTTGTTGTTGCAGACAGTTCAAAAGCCGGTTTCACCACTGTTTACAAATGGAATGGGAATGGATTTTATTCCCATCAGTCTCTGCACGCCTGGTACAGAGATACTGATGTGGAGTTTCTTGAAATAGCCGGCAAACCGCATTTAATTCTGTCAAGTAGTTCCCAAAGACCTGTAATATATCAATGGAACAAAGGAACAAATGAATTTGTTAAGCGTTTTGATATCCAGGATATGGAAGATGCATATGCGGTGAAACATTTCAAAGTGAAAGAGGATGTATACATTTGTTTAACAAGATTTATTGGGGACTCTAAAGTAATGAAATGGGGTGGTTCAGCATTTCTGGATTTACAAAGAATGCCATCCCGAGGGTCAATGGTATTCCAACCGCTCCAGATACGTAATTATCAATATGCCATTCTCGGAAGTGATTATTCTTTCACTCAAGTCTATTATTGGGATGCTGAGAAAGCAAAATTTGTGAAGTTTCAAGAATTAAATATACAGGCACCAAGATCTTTCATACATGTCTCCATCGATAAACGAGATTTTCTCTTTGCTTCCAGTTTTAAGGGAACTACATTGATTTATAAACATGTCAGAGTTGACTTAAGCGCATGACACTCATTAATCTGAGGTTACATCAGACTTTCTGCCGTAAGCGGACAAAATGAACTAAATGCATGATGACTCTCTTATCTTACTTCCAAATGAATGCCTTTAAAAGTTGAGATTGCTAGAACAAAGTATTACTAGTATCTTCATCTTTAATTGTCAAGTCTAGTGATGTTGGAAGTTGCATTTTTTAACAAAAAGAAATTAACTGTTCTTTGCATCCACAGTATGTAAATATGTGTGCAACTGCATCTGTTGCTATAAAGAATATTAAGATGTACTTTTCCATTTATTTATTCACCTGTTTGAAACAACTGCCAAATAAAATGTTTACATTTTGTGTCTTTCACATTCCAAATATTATTTTCAGGTGATACTTTTTATTTGTGTATGTATTATACACATACAAGATAAACTGGAGAAGGTGTATTGCCCAATTCTGAGTTGTACTGCATGGAAGATGCACAGAATATCAGGTAGGTTTTGTGTATAATTGTGTGTAAGGTTTTGATGCAAATGCAGCGTAGAACTTCAATCCTACTAGCAGTCACCTGGACACATCATTGTATTTATGTGAAGCTTCACTGGTTCAAATTGGCTTCCACCTAGAAAAGTAGGATTCCATTCTATAGATCTGGCTGTAGGATGGGGCTTTGTACTGTTCATAGTTGGAAGTAACAGATTGTTGAAAAAAAATTACAGAGAAATCAACAGAATAAATCTGATGTAAAGGTCTTTCTCCACCTGACGCTGAAGCAGCACAGAATGAATCTCTGGAATGACATTTGGGCTGTCACTGTGCTGAAAGCTAAAAGCACAGCTTATTTTGCAGCTAGCATCATTTCTATATCTGAGCTGTGACACATCACTTGCACGAATTCTGTGTATCCTTGTCAAGTCTTTCAATTGTAATCACAATTATTTAGTTTTCACTGAATTTCTTCTTTATTGTGAACGAGGGTAGGGAAAGTGAAGTCATCTGGTAAGAGGTATGCCTGAGATTTCAGGAATTTTGAATGTGGCAAAACAAACTCCATTAGTGTAACATCTGAACCTCTAGGGAATCTGCCTATGTGTGTTAAGTTACACCGAGTCTAAGTTTGTCATGAAAATCCATCACACTCAAAGTTTAAATAGTCTTTTGTTTGCATACACCCAGTGCATCACCTGTGAGAAATCAGCACTTGCTGCAGCTCAGGAAGAGAACTCAAATTCATTTTAGCTACTTTTGCACTTCACTTGAAGTTATTGAGCCTTATGCTTCAGTGCCATCTTTAAAATATACATTAAAATACCATGTATGTTTGTTTGTATTTCTAACATTTCTAGCACTCACAGACATTGATTGGCCAATAAGATTTGTACTATGCTCATCAGCTAGTGATGTAAGCTGATCTGGTGAGCCAGCAGGCTCCCCGTATTTATGAAGACTCTAAAATGACTATTTCAGCCTCAGTAGCTTTTCCTTTGCTGATGGTGCTGCTATGAGCAGTTGCTAGTGCTGCAGGCAAGAAAGACACATAATATGTAAGAAGCCAGTTCTAAACAGCAGGCTTCTATGATAAAGAATAGTTTTTTACATTCAGTGTTATTAGAAAAGAAAAAATCATATGTGAACAATGCTACTCTAATAAGCTAATTTTTTGTGCCTTTTTATCCGTAGCTGCTTATGCTCTGGTCAGTATTTGACTTAAAACTACTCACTGTGTATAAATCTGTGACTAGAAAGATTTAATATTGCACAGTTGTAAGCACCAGCAAGTTTTTATTAGCACATAACATTTCCAAAATCCATTCTGATAATGCATCACTGGACAGTTTTCAAGTTCTTAGCTTTCATATGAGTGTGATTTTCAGCCCCAGATCAATCCAGATAATCTCTCTTATTACTTGTGAATGTCAGCTGCACAATGTTGATTGCCAGCTCAGCTTGTCTGTCTCTTCTTCAATCTACCTTGCATGGCAGAAGGATGATCTACAATACACCAGAAAACTATGAAGTGTTCATTTTGTCTTTTGTTTTGGTCTTTTCCTCAATAACCTATTGAACTACATGCACTGACTTTGTTCTGATTTCTCCCATTATACTTGCCTACATGCATTCTCTATCCTCTCTATATTCTCTATCAGTTGTATAAGTAATGGCAAAATGGCTATATATATCTTTCCCATTATGGACATACTGTGGACGCCTGGTTGAGTTTTAGTGGATTCAGATAGCCCTGCTAATCTTCTACCAACATTCACTTACAAACATAGTTTGAAATCTATGCCTTATATGTTGCCTCACAGTCCTGCTTGAGAAGGTTGGTTCCTGGAGTTGTATTTCAGACACAACCTGATACAAGCCCTATGTGATAGTATTGCTGTAGTTGTTTTCCCAAATTAACCTTTTCTGAAACTCTATTATGGATTTATGGGAATTCACTGTTATTCCTGGGCTTAAAGGAAGAGCTGAAAATCTTGCAGGAGTATGAGCCCCTAGAATTTTACGTTCAAGATACAAGGGAAACCAGCCATGGAGTTGTACAGGATGATATGGGATTTAAATATGGGATCCCATATTTATTTAGTATGTAACTATGTTATCAGTTTGGATGGTCCGTCACAAAAATTTTACCTGTGGTCAAGTGCTAATAATTCAGGAAGTCCTTAATGTCAATGTCGTTTCTGGAAGGTCAATTAATCACTGTAAAATGCTGAATCTAAATCTATTCTCTTCTGAAAATCACTCTCTACAGGCTGTTTATGTCAACCGGAGTCTCACAGGGACTACAGATGATTCAGTATTGTGCAAGTATTGCATTTCATTGCACCACAAAAGGAATTGGGGTATTTTTAGAACACAGATCACGGTAGTTAATCCTTAATGTGAAAGAGTGTAAAGACTCATCAGGTGGTTCCCTGTGCTGTCTCTTCCCAGCTTCCGAGCTTGGATAGTTTAACATCTCTGAGCATAAGGCCATACCCCACCCTCGCTCTGTGCTCAGAATTCCTTCTGGTATCAGTGGGAGTCTCAAACAAAAAACTGAAATAAGACTTCTTATCATATCCTTATACTTTTTCAAAACGCTGTTTCAAAACAAGTCCCTTCCTTAGAGCACAGGTGTTACCTACAGCTGCCTGATTTTCTTCTGTGGTTGTGATGGATTTTCTAATGTTCCTCATTGTTCTGTTTATGACTAAGAGTATGTCAAGTATAAAAGTACTACAGAAGACAGTATTGAAGGTTGTTAATGGATGCTGCTGATCCTCAATACTGCTAAGTCGTGTTTATATCCAAGGAGCAATTGTTGATGAAATTGTATTGTATTCCTACGACCACTTGACTATAACTTTAAAGGAGCACAAGTATAAAAAAAATGTATGCTCCTCTGCTCTGAGAGTGATGTTAAAATACATTCAGAATATCTGATACTACACTGTGCATAGCTTTTTTTCTCTGTTGCAATGTCTAGGACTTGCAGGACTCCATTTCTACTTATTTCCCATTAAAAAGCACATTATAACATGCACTCTACATGCATGTAGACACCCCCCTACACTCACTAAGGTGAACAAAGAGAAGTAGTGACAAACTGTAGTATTTAGTAATCTCTGCAGCAACATTTTAGTTATAACTGCTCCTAGTTCTTCCATTTCAAGGGAATATTTTCCGTACCATTGAAGACACAACGCATTCCCTCTTGGTGGGGAGGGAACCCCCCTGAGGCCATCACCCCATTCTTGTGACGTGCAGTAAAAGACTTACTGCCCCACATTCATGACCTTTGCTTGTGGAACAGCTTTTTGCTTTTGGCACCTCTCTGTTGCACACAGTGAATCCCAGCTGTGGAGCCACAACTGGAGAACATGCTACCACCCACCAAAATGCCAGGGTAGAAATTAATCCAGATTCAGCAGAAGGAAAAACCCAAACCCTCCCCTGCGGCACAGCATGCTTTCTCTGTGGTTTGTTAATACACACTTCAAACATGTGCAGCTACCTTTCACATGGCTGCAAGCCCTCTCCTCCCACAGTTGCTCTGCAGAGTTGAGCATGGCTGTGTAGCTGTGATTCAGACTCCTGATCAAGACAGCCAAATGGGCTGTTGTGGTCAGGAACTGACCTATAGAAGTGTAGATCTTGGGGAGTTCCATCTCCGAAGACTGAGCTGCAGTGCCAGACCTGCTGCTAAGGGGCAGGTTTTCTCCATTAGGTTTTGCTCTGAATTCTGACAGTGGGTGTTGGAGGCATGAGCTGTTTATAGTTTGCTTAAACAAAGTGCTCAGAGGCAAACCTATGCCACAGGAATTTGCCCAGTACAAAGACCACCAGCGCGCCATATAGAAGCAGCGTTATATTTGTGCTCTGAGACTCTGAATTTCTCCAATTAGTCATGCTGGTGTAATACTTCTGTCTTCAAATTTGTTACAGCAGGGACTAATTTGCCCAAATATGCATATTCCTATTAACTCAATAGTTTATTTATTCTCCAAATAAGTTGAAGTGGATAATGGTTATCAGTATGTTACTGCCCCAATCTCCCATTCAAGAAATCAAGTTCTGGATTCTCCAAAGTTGCTTTTAACTCAGCCTTGTTTTATGTCTCCTACCAAATTATTTCAATTGGAAGAGGACTTTCTGACCTATTCACACTTCCTGCTTGAAGGCCTGGATAGCGACAGCAGTCTGTTAGCAAGTTGTCAACCTGCCCAGATGGTGAGCATCCAAGAATGCTGAAAGAGCTGAAGAATAAACAGGCCAGCCTGCTAAGAATACAGTCTCTCATTAAAAGCCATTTATGTGCAAAAGAACTGGAAGTAACAAATATCATGTCTATTTTTATTAAAAGTTCATGGGATAATCAGTGGAGTTTCAGACCAGAAAGATCCATGTTTGTATCTGGTCAAATATCAGGAATGGCAATTGGAAAATTGGCATGTAAAATGTCAGGAGAAAGTAGATAACACATGGGACAGGCTGGCTAGTGAAGTTCGGGGTCCATAAATGCAAAATGCTTTTCATAGGAAAGAAAGGTTCACAAGCTCTAAAATTAGCAGTTAAGAAAAACAACTTGACGTCATTGTGAGCAACTCAGCAAGAAACTGATCCCACCACACAGCTATAGGAAAAAGCAAATCATGTTACATGTACAGAACAGTAAGGAGAATGCAACATTGCATGCTACAGCAAATCAGTGCTGTTGCCTTATCTGAGATACTGCACGCAGTACTCATTCACTCCTCTCAGAAATGCACTGCAGAGCTGCCAGGGACTCGGAGAAGTGTGGTGGGACTCACTGAAGCTATGGAACAGGACAACATCTGATTCTTGCAAACCCCAAGCCACAAAA